GATTCAAATTCAACTGCTGTTGGGCAATTAGACAATCTGTATCAATTTACAATGAATATAAATCATGAGGAAAAATCAATACCCATATTCGTACATCGTCTCGCAGAATAATGTGGTTTATTCATTTATGAACCTCATATATGAATTAAGAATAATTAATTAAGATATAGTACTTAGTAATATTTTGGAACATTTACACGTCTTTAAGTGTATACACTAAAATATCTATACTTGAGAGGTTATGAAATATTATTAAGATTATTATATGATAATATTCTGGAAGACTTAAATATTCGTTATGAGTAAACACTCTAGGATGGGTTATACCTGTGTTACTAATGCAATTAACGCCATATTTTACAAAAACATTCAAATTGGGGGTACACATACACTTTATGATACAGTGCGCACGCGCTAACCATTCGGCCATCCATCGGAATGGTTCCCTAATAATAATTACACCTGTTGGTATAAATGCAATAAAACGCTTGTAGAGGTGTAGCTCATCCCAAACATCTTTTAGCGGCTACAATTACACCTGTCCTGATGTTCAGTACTCATGAATATCGATTACACTTTGCAACCCAATAAACGCTGTAAAATTAACTCCCCAATAATAGTTACACCTTTTGGTGTAAATGCAGTATAACACTGGTAGTGGTGTAGCTTATCCAAAACACCCCACATTTACACCTATTCAGGTGTTCTGTAGTCATGAATATCGGTTACACTTGTTAGGTGTAGTTCTTTAGTTGGTTATCCTTGGAAAGGTATTCCATTTTAAAAACTCTAGCTGTGGTGTAAAGTTTACACTTAATTAACACTACTTACAGTTTTAAATTACACCCATTTTTAACAGTGTATCTCATCCACAAAGTTTTCGGCTAAGGGGGAACCAACGGTCGCGGAAACATGATTATCGATAGGGTTCGTCCTCTCATGACCCGAATGCTTCACAGCAATTTGAAAAAAAAGGTCTGTTAAAAAATATAGCTTCTATCACGTTCACAAGCCTTTGGCTTGTTTTTGAATCCTTACCTTTTTGACGGTGTATGTATACAATATCTATCTTTTTTGAATAACATATTGTTTAAATCAACAGAAGGTTCAGTGAGCATCAAAATCAAACTCCTCCGAGGTCGTTTGATCCTTAACATATAGTCTAAGTTTAATCTAAATCTGACAAACATTGTATGCTCTAGAGGGTCCACAAACTTTATACACATTTCACATTCTCCGTAAAAGGGAGGGACAATCACAACCCCAAAAGTTTAGGTCTAACATGATCTTTTCATTCTTAAGGACAATATTGGTGTCAGACATTATTTCATACATGACAGAACTGGTTAAACACATCCCAAATTTAATTTTAACATAGAGATCGTTGCTACAGTAGATGTGTAACTAACACTTGAAGAAACGGGAAGTGATGACAAAAATGACAAACAGTACGAGTTATCCTTCTATATAACTGATTGAAGGAACGAGCGGTATCAACACGGTCGAATTTCATTTCACTGATAATTCCGTTGAAGATGAAAAGCTGTTATAAAAGAGGAACTTGTTGAAACGTGGTATTAAATAAACTCAGTGATTATTTTCTATATAAATTGTGTTTTTAAAATATTATACTAAACAGCCTCAAAATCAGAGAGGCAATTTAATCAAATCATTCTAGAAAACGACTTACTAAATGGATCAAAGCAATTTTTTGTGAACAGTATGTTGACATATTAGTGAAGGTTTAGGGTCTGTCACAGTCTATACATCAGTATCTGGTGTGTCCACCATCAACGCAGAGTCTGTACATGGAGTTGACCAGGCGATTGATGAACCCCATTGGCACCTGGAACCACACTCTCAGAAAAGCCTGGCGCAATTCCATCGACTGTGTTTGGTCTCGGTATGACGTTATTAAGTCTCCTCTGAATTTTATCCCAAAGATGTTCAATCGGGTTTAAGTCCGGATTAAGGGCTGACCAGTGCATAACGTTGACACCGTACTCCTTGTAGAAAGTCCCGAGTAACTCTGGCGGTGTGGGCACGGGCGTTGTCATGCTGGAAAACGTTGTTTCGATGACGTGCGAAATGTGGTATGACGTGGGGTCTGAGGGCTTGATCGATGTAGCACACTGCTGTGATGCCGCCTCCTCTCCCTGGACCAAGATTTTGGAACACCACAGGACCCACTCTCTGGTTCAGGCTGATTCCACCCTAAACCATTATGCTTGGACCTCCCCATGAGTCTCGTCCATGACACATTGGTCAGATTAACGCTGGCCACGTCGACACCATATTCTGGTCCTGCCATCTGCAGTTGATACGCAATACCGACTCTCATCTGTGAACAGAACAGTTCTCCATTGCTTGTGTCGCCAGTTCTGGTGTTGTTGGGCAAACTGTATACGTTCACGCCGATGGCGAGGGGTGAGGAACGGTCCACGTTAAGGTCTACGGCAATGGATGTTCTCTCTCGTGAGACGTCGGCGCACTGTATCGGTACTGACGTGTGTGTTCCCACTGTCTGACGTGCTGTCCCAGATGCCTGTCTGAAGGGATTCTGCACGTGCTTTCGCACAACATAGCGGTCTTCTCGCCTTGTGGTAACCCTTGGTCTACCAGTTCGGGGGAGTTCATACGTGGTCATGTTGACCTGAAAGAGTTGCTGAAGCCTGGAAGTGATTGGCAACGGCTTTGGCAGTGTGGCCAGCGGCGAGTCTTCCAAGCGCCTGGTTCCTCTGAGCTGTCGTGAGTCGTGGCATATTGTAGTGTGCATGATTCAACCAGGTATGGGGGTGCATTTTATAGGGCTGGTACCGGTGAACAGCACGTGCAACATGAGTTACATAAAAATCACGGAGAACACATTACCATCTCAGAAGTCAGATTGCGTTTTTGAGAACATTTCTTGGGTTCAATTCTCTGTTTGGGAAGGAGTCTTATTGCTCAAATAAAGTTATGCAATGCGTCTATTCAGAGTAACATATCAACTTGACGTTTCTTTTGCTACTTAGTATATTCAATTCCTGCAGTATAAGGATTTCATACGAGACGGTGAAAGGATATCTGACAATTCAAAAATAGAACTGGCTGTCACTAGATAAGAGAAAACGAGAAAAATAGAAAAGACCGGTGCATTCCCTTGTTTTTATACGCCCATATTGAAATGTGGTCGTATATTGTCGCCTGATTTTTTTTAACAATATCTGACAATTACTACCAGAGTTATGGCCCTTGATCTCTTTGAAATATCTTGTGGACGCTTTATATGACAAAGTTAATATCCGATTAACCTTAAATTTATACACAGTGTTTAAGGTCATGAGACAAAGAATCCTATTGATTTCAACGATTTCTGATAATTAATTCCAGATTTATGGCCCTTGATCACTATGAAATGTTGTGTGGACACTCTAGACGCTAAAGTTAGTATCCGATTGACTTTAAATTTATACACAGTCGTGTTCAAGGTCATGAACTTATTGATTTTCAACGATTTCTGATAATTACTGCCAGAGTTATGGCCCTTGCGGTGGCTTGATCACTTTGAAATATCTCGTGGGCGCTCTAGACGCTAACGTTAATATCCGATTGACTTTAAATTTATACGCAGTGTTTAAGGTCATGAGACGAATAATCCTATTGATTTTCAATGATTTATGATAATTACTTCCAGAGTTATATGGCCCTTGATCCTTGATCATTTGAAAAATCCTGTGGACGCTTTAGAGGCTAAAGTTAATATCTGATTGACTGTATACAGTGTTTACGATCATGAGACGATGAATCCTATCAATCAATGTTCAACAATTTCCGATGATTATGGCAAAATATTAAATATTTTGTATGCTAAATGTTAGAATAGGGCAGAACTAGAAGCCAAATGGGTGTTACTCGTAATCAGATTTTAGTATTTTGTAAATGTTTTCATTTCTGACTAACATATCTGGGGTTTTTTCCTTACCACTACGGATTAAAACGGACCCCCTATCCCCTCCCCGTTGGCTTCTGCTGGTCTAGATGTATGGTTTTCTTATTTTCTTAACCTTAACCTTGACCTGGTCCTTTAAAATCAAAACATGTAATTTTCTGAACCTATAAGGGAACAACGGGAGGCAACTCTGTTTTTGCGTCACCATTTGTGGTTTCAGACTAGTAGTAGTAATCATCTCTACATTGACATCAACGTTAAATCCAAAGTGATTCCTTTGCCCATGATCTTAATAGAGTCCAAATATGTATATGTCACAATCATGTAAAAAATATTGAAGTGGTTGACTCTTTGGGTTTTTTGCTATGCCCGGTCAAAGGAATCTAGCGTGATTTCCCTAATTCATATCTTTTTTTTTTTACTTCCATCTCTCCTTACTCAAAATATTGACCATTTGCTAAACCCGGCAGAAAATGTAAATTCAAGAACTCCTCTTCGATTCTTGACCAAATAATATGCCACGGAAAAGAAAGAAAAGAACTTAATTTAAGAACTAAGTAAGAAGATCCAAAATTAAGTAGGCCTACTGGAACCCAAAATTATAAGTTCCTTGGCAACATTGAATACCCCAAGTAAGTGAATTCTTCAAAGTTTTACTACATTAATGTATTGCCTATACGTACAAAGCAAATAGTGTGCAATTTAATAATTTTGTTGTTGTTTTCTATTCTATTTCTAACATCTAATATTAATAAATAGTAATAAATCGAGCGCTCAAATTAGTCAAATGAATGACAAGATTCCAGCAATTATCCATTCCAGCTGTCCTTGTGAAGAAATCCCCCTTCACACTACATGAACATGTATTTGATGTACATTTGCATCAAGATCAATCTACGTTTTCTTTTACATAACGTTAATCCCTTCTCGTTTTAGTTCATTGCTTTGATCATCTGCCGATGACCAGAATTAGATTTGGCTTTATCACGTGGCTTTGTTTTGGTCGCGCTTTATAACGGTGCTTCTCGCGAGATTTCTCATTTTCTCGCGATTTAGCCAATTGAAGCAATTGGTCGACCCCCCTATGCCGTTCAGGGGTTTATTACAGTGTATAAAAGCGAGCAGTGGCAGATTTCGGTGGCTTCTGCGAAGCCCACAGTTCACTAAAATCATTGTCGTTTTGCAGTGGAATTGGTCAACTGTTTAAGCATAATGGCTACTGCCAGTTCCACGGTGAGTTGATCAAGTCAAAGAATTCCATATTCAATTTTTCACCAAAATTGTAATTGGATTAGATGTAAAACATTTTTGTAAGGCCAGGCTGTGGCTGGTCCGCCAGCTGAAATGAAATGGCCTCTTTCTTAGCATTGCTTCACTGTCTTGTTAGTCGTTCTTAGTGAATCTTAGGAATACTACGTACTAACGATCAGGTCTTCTTCCGTTAGTTTCCTCTTCAACTCGAATCTTTTTCTTCGTTTCGGTTTTGAATTTGTCAGCCAAATAAGTATATTGTAAGATATAAATTCAATAAAAAATTTCACTTGACTAGAGTCTAGGTACCGGGCCTACACTCACAATCATAAAATTTAATACGACTGAGCTAAGACACTAGAGTCTAGAGTAAGACTGAGTTTTAATTTTTAGTCTGGATTGTGAGAAAGCCCTGGACAGGTAAAACAAAAACATGTCCAAACGGAATACGCTAAAGATGCAGATCTATAAGAGACTAGATCTGATAGTGATAGTATTTTAATTTTTGTTACTGTAATGTTATTATATTTTTTTTTTTAGATGGGCCTTAAATTATTACTAATAATATTAGGTAAATGGTCATGGTACCGTTAATAGAAATGAAAAAAGCTTCATGTCATGTCAGATTTATAATCTTAGGCCTATAGGCCTACATGTTGAAAAAAGTAATTCTTTAGCACACCTAATAGTTAAAGTATCTGAGTGTCATTTGAGGGAAATAGTGTGAAAGTTACATTTGATTCATTCTATATTTCTAAAACAAATTAAAAAAAAAACTAACTCAGTCATTTTCACTGCCCTGGCATATACTTTAAGCTCCGACTATCTCACAGTATGTGTCCTGTCATATACAAATTAAAGTAGCTAAGTCTCTAACTCAATATCATCCAAAGTCTTCGACATTGAAAACACGAATTATTTTTCAGTTAAAATCAACATTGATGTCGTGATCTTACAGGGAAAAGATGGGCTTCTGATATCCAATATTTAAGACAAAATAAACATTTTACCATTCGTGTAACATAATGCGTTTTAGCACCATTTGTAAGTTGTAACAAGGGACTCGAAGAACGAGGCTAGACATATTCTACAAGTCATGTCAAACGGTGACCTCATATTCTTATCTGGAGAGCATGCACAATAAATACTATTGGTGTAGACTTGAATAACCAGATGCTAGAGACCTAGAGATGGCCATTCGATTGAGACTTCTGGCATATTTCGCCGAACATAATTGATTTGAAATCAAGAGTATAAACAGAAACGATTGAATGTTAATCAGATTATATACACTCATATTATTACATTATTATATGCATTGCGACCCATTTGTGTCAATTTCTAGGTCCCGAATATTAGTGATTTAGCTCTTTTAAGTTAATTAACCAGCGTTGCACAGGCATTTAATTATCTATTGTTTTGTTTTTGAATTATGAACATATTTTTAAGATGTACATAGTTCACGTTCAGCTCTATAGCAAACCCACATACTTTCAAGGAGGACTCAAGAATTATTTTTTAAAAGAAGAGGTAAAACAGGAGTTTTATGTATCATTGGTGCCCTATTGGTAATGATCTGAATCTGATACAATACCTAAATATATTTTTAACTAAATCTGAAAAGTTTCATTATAAAGGAATTTTTTATGAAATAATATAACACATTGTACATTCCTGTTTGTCCACAATTCTAACTCATACTTCAGTGAGCTTGTTTAAAGTTCTATCTTAGTAAGCATGAGTCTTAAATTGTTATGCAAAAGTAATCTGTTCCTGCAACATGGCCTTGGCAAGGTAGCGTGTCTCAAATGGTAAAATGACTTTCTCAATTGCAATTTGTCTTAAATTTGCTGCAACTAATATTTGCTCCTTGTTTATCTAAAATGTTGATGGTCATTGGCATTCCTATTTTTGTGACGCTGATGTCAGCTACATAAATTCACTGGTGGAATACCAATAATTTCATAACTGAATTTTATGTGGCTACCTTCTTTTCACTGAAATGAAATGTGGTTTAACACCATACATTTCTGCACCAACTGGGCTAATGAAAACGTGCATACACCGCTTAGTGTGCAACATAAGAGTAATTTTACCCAGACAACATCGCCACGACCTACTCTTATTTTAAAGGGGGTTGGATGGCCGAATGGTTAGCATGTGCGTGCGCACTGGCAGGGTTTCAATTCCCCGGTTGTACGTGACATGGAGTAGGGTTTTCTCCGGGTCCTCCGGTTTCCTCCCACTGCTAAAGACCCCTACGTGCAAGCGAATTATTGAAATAAAAAATTGAACCATGTGTTAGTCCCAAAATTACCTTGTTTGTGTCGAGTGGACGTTATACCCCATTTCTCTCTCTCTTATTTTGAATTCCAACAGTCAAGGGTTCTTTTACATGTACACAAGACCTCAGTTTTTGTCCCATCCTAAGGACTAGACACTGTCCTTGTCAGGCCATCTGTCCTGCACCACTGAGGGGAAACAACACCGAGAAATCTACTTAATCCGCCTTTTCACTGCGGCCCTCACGGACCACCATTATTTTATCATGGGCCCCAGGCTGGGAAACACTGTTCTATAATCGATACGGGTTTTATTTGTATATTTTTAGAGTAAGTTATATAAAATGGTGGTAGAAGATGTTATAAATAATGTTAAAGAAGCTTTTTTAGATGAAGGAGTAGATGAGCAAGTTTTGCAAGAATTAAAACAGGTAAATTGTTTGTGATATTAATATTCTAATTAAAACAGGTAAATTGTTTGTGATATTGATATCCTAATGCTTATAGTTATTATGTTATAATTGATTTACCTTGGATACTTTTAGTTTTGATAATAAAACTAGTACCCAGGATAGCTGTAATAATTATGTAAGGTTAATAGTCGATGGAGTAAATTTCAAGTTGAAGTAAAACTGTTCTATCCATAATCGCTGTCCTGGTCAATCTGCACCTTGTTTTGGAACAAAATAGTTGTCATAAAACTAAATTGGTTACTTTGTTTCATGTTTATTATTGGTTCTGTGTTTAAAAACAACATTATCCTATTAGCACTTAGACAGCCCCAAACCCCCTAACTAGGGCTCCCCAGACCACCCCAGAATGCCCTGTCAAGTGCATAACTGATAGCTACATGTATTTTCTTAGCTGTATCAGCATATCTTTAAGAAATTTTGAGAAGTGCACATATAAATCTTTTTACTATATTTTATATTTATTGTAGCTATGGGAATCAAAATTAACAGCATCAAAAGCTCTAGAGCCAGCACAAAATGAATCTGAATTAATGTTAGCTGGCGGTACACCACAACTAGTCTTTCAAAATCAACAACAGGGTAAGTTTTCATGGTGTTACAAATTGGCCAGAAAACCTATAGATTTGGCAGTAACCTGAGTATTTAGATTTTATGATAATATAAAACAAACAGGTGTAATGATATACCCAATAGACACCCATAAACAACTACTGTTCCAGCAATGTTTTCTTTTTCCAATATGAGCATCTAACTTTTACCTAATAAAGTTTTAACTTGTGTGTTCAGAGCAATCCACAATCATGCGGTACTTCTAGATCTGCTCTAGTGCTCCTACGACTAGTCGGATAGCCGTAAACGGTTAGAACTGGACGGTTAAACGGTTCGAATTGAACGGTACGGTTATTTGGAGATGTCCCCCATTACACAGAGTTGTGTCTGATTATATTCCTCTCTATAACAAAAATTGCCCGTTGTCATTTTGTATATGATGTTTGAAAATCTTAGAATGTAACAGTCGTCCTACGATGTCGACTGCTTAAAAATAATACTATTTTAATAGCACTCGTCGTCGTCATACGGCAAAGTCAACGGACCTTGTTCTGACTTAAGCTATTGTTAATCCAATCTAAATACTTCTCGACATTTCTAACTATATTCTAACTTGTTTATTATTGTCCCCCGCCTTTCGAAGAAAGCAGGGGACTATTAAAATGGGTTCGTCTGTCTGTCTGTCTGTCTGTCTGTCTGTCTGTCTGTCTGTCTGTCTGTCTGTCTGTCTGTCTGTCTGTCTGTCTGTCCGTCCGTCCGTCCGTCCGTCCGTCCGTCCGTCCGTCCGTCCGTCTGTCCGTCCGTCCGTCTGTCTGTCCGTCACACTTTTTGGGACACAATAACTCTCTTCCTAATTGAGCTAGAATGTTCAAACTTGGTGTATGTGTTTATTAGGTCAATGCCTTGATGGAGTTCGAAGATGAGCATTTTCCGCTTAGGGTAAGCAGAGATAAGCAATTTGATTGGTTGATGCTTTGGGACACGATAACTCTCTTCCTAATTGGGCTAGAATGTTCAAACTTGGTGTATGTGTTGATTAGGTCAATGCCTTGATGGAGTTCGAAGATGAGCATTTTCCGCTTAGGGTAAGCAGAGATAAGCAATTTGATTGGTTGATGCTTTGGGACACGATAACTTTTAATTGAGCTAGAATGTTCAAACTTGGTGTATGTGTTTATTAGGTCAATGCTTGATGGAGTTCAAAGATGAGCATTTTCCGCTTAGGGTAAGCAGAGATAAACAATTTGATTGGTTGATACTTTGGGGCACGATAACTCTCTTCCTAATTGAGCTAGAATGTTCAAACTTGGTGTATGTGTTGATTAGGTCAATGCCTTGATGGAGTTCGAAGATGAGCATTTTCCGCTTAGGGTAAGCAGAGATAAGCAATTTGATTGGTTGATGCTTTGGGACACGATAACTTTAGTTCTAATTAAGTGAGATTGATGAAACTTGGTGTATAGATTTATTATATGAATACCTTAACTAAGTTCGATAATGAACATTTTTTGCTGAGGGTAAGCAGAGTGATAAGCAATTTGATTGGTAGAAACTTTGGAACACAATAACTCTCCTTCTAATTGAGGTAGAATGTTCAAACTTGGCATAGGTGTCTATTAGGTGAATGTTTAAACTTGATGTATATGTAGATGTTCATTAGGTGAATGTCTTGACTGAGTTCAATAATTAACATTTCGAGCTGAAGCTAAGCAGAGCTAATCGATTTCATTTGTCGATGGTTTGGGACAAGATAATCTTGATTCTATCTGATAGAGAGTGATGAAACTTAGTGAAAAAAATAAATGTGCGATTAATTAATATGTGTCATCTATTTATTTTGCAATTTCGGCGGGGGACATCAGCCTCACTGTTGGCTTGTTTACTTCAAGACGTAACTACCATTCAAAATATAATCATAAAGGCTAGAAAATGACATTATACTAGATTCGTTACGACATTCAACGGCGTTTCATATCTCGTAATTTCTCGCTAGAATTCTACTTTGGTTTTTAGTTAAATTAACCAATCATAAAAATTCTACTTGCAAGCGAGGAATTATTTCTTTATTGTCCAATCAATAGACGCCTTCCAATTTACTTTATTCTATTCTTAGTAACATTGTGTAATCGTAATATTATCGCCATCTGTCACGTACGAAGGGAAACAGATCGAGTATTGTTTTGTATATTATCGTTATATTGAATTAAAAAATGTTTCAAATGAACCAAGTTAACCAGGTAAATAAATAACTATACGGCCTAAGATAGTTTAAATTTTCATTAAAGAATTGTACATGTCTGAAAAAATTCCTGAATTATTTGCGTGTGTAATGCCGTTTAGGCGAGTATAGCGTGCGCACGAGTAATGACTCGCACCTCCTGACAAGCTCTGTTTTATGTTTATAAAATAGAATCAGTATAATCTGTGTTTAGTAACAGGTTAGTTATAATAGACAACACTATTCTACAGATCATGAAAATGGTATACCGGTAGTCAGTATTACTGCTTTCAATGTTGGTTGTCTTGAGCAGAATTTTAAAAATTAATGCTATATAATATATGTGATTGTATTATCCAGTATTGACACAAGGACAAGTTCAACAGACTTTCTCTGGTTTACCTGTACAAATAAATAGATCGGGTCCAGAACTAGTAAGTAACACGTTTTATTTTTTATACACCCACATTGAAATGTGAGAAACTTCCAATAAATAGAAACAGGTAACACAAACCAATTACAGAATAATACATTTGATACCTAGATAAGTCAAGACATGATAATTAATAGAAATAGGCGTTGTTACTCTTGATCTGTTTTTTTACTGTCTTGTACATGTAAGTGCACATTACCTACAAAAGAATAAAAATGCGACAACCTTTATTGAAGGCTTGAAATCTGCTGTGGGTTTATGTTTTGTTGCCTGGCAACAAGATGTAGATCAAAGAAACTGACATATAGTCGGGTAAAGACAAGCCATGTGGAATGGATACCTAGAACAAATTGCAACAGGATTTTTCTCAGCAGAATCTGGTTGAGGGGTCCCTGAAGGTCCCCCAAACAAAAGTGATCCAAAATAAAAAGATAGGATTTCGAGTAATTAGCATAAATCCAATATGGCCACCATTGGCACCTTAAAACTCCAATATCTCAGGAGTGATTGAGTTTATAGGGTGTAAATGTATTACTGGTAGATGTAACGGTGGTACCAAAGAATTAAAAAAAAAAGCATAACCCATGACGTCCCTGTGACATCATAATGGGTGATGGATTTTGTTTAATAATCTTGCTGCAGATTCTGGTCGAATTCCAAATCCCCCTTTCGTGAATTTTCATAACATTCTCGAAGAATTGTCCCGGTTCTTCGTTTAATCATTACGTCCTGTCACATTGTCTGCCTATAATACATTTGCATGCTCTAAACTCAACCATTCCCAAGATATTAGAGTTTTGATTTTAAGGTTTCTATGGGCAGCCATATTGGATTTATACTAATTATTGGACAGCGGCGTTATGACATCACATGAACGTAATTTGGCAATGTTTTTTCTGATTCTTTGGTAGCACTTTTCTATCTACCCGTAATACATTTACACCCTCTGAACTCAACCATTCCCAATATATTGCAGTTTTAAGGTGCCAATGGTGGCCATATTGGATTTATGCTAATTACTCGAAAACCTTTCTTTTTATTTTGGACGATTTTTGCTTGGGAGATCTTCAGGGAACCCTTTACCAGATTCCATGAAGAAAAATTCAGTTGCAATTTGTTCTAGGTTATTTATTATATTTGCTGGAGTAATAAGTCTAGTTCAAGTTACACAATGATTATGCGAACTTGAAAACCTGTGAATGTCCCTCTATTGATACAGAACATTTGCACATTTATAAACAATACTAAAACCTCTGTCAATCAATAGCTAAATGTTATTTTCATTCGGTGTATTTGGGGACTCGCTTCATTATCATTACAGAAAAAAGTAAGTACCACTTCTGTCCATTATGAGTATTAAAATCCTCATTTTGTATTTCAGTCAGGTGCAGCAGCGACGGCAACAATGGCTTTACCCCGTGGCATATTTCAACAGCAGATGGCAGCATTAAATGCAGGCTCCATCAATGGGCCTGCTATCACTTTAGGTAAGAAGTCTTTTAAAGCATACAGAAATCTTTCTCTCTTTACTCAAAATTAGATTTATTACTCAATTGAAGTTTTCATACTAACTTTAAAAGATGTTTTGTTATTATTGAAGTATTCATAAAGCAGTTAAATTACCGAGACGTTCTTAGTCTAAATGCAGACTAAACATGTTTTATTAATTGATTTTTAAATTATCGAATTGTGTACATTTTAGCATGAATTCAGTAGAAATAATTCAAAAATCTCCGGTCCACAGTAGTATAAACAGACTTTATGTGAAATAGAAAGGTGGTATATCCATAATGTTTCAGGTTATACGACAAATGATATCAAATGTGAAAAATTAGATATTGTACAATAAATGCAAATGACGAGCAGAGGCTTTAATACTAGATACAAAATAAAATAGGAAAATATGCAACAGCTGGAGTTCCTTTTTATACACCCACATTGAAATGTGGTCGTATATTGTCGTTGCCCCCGTCTGGCCGTCGGTCCCGCGTCAACAATTGCTTGTGGCACTCTAAGAGGCTAAAGTTGATATCTGATTGACTTTAAATTTATACACAGTGTTTAAGGTCATGAGACGAAGAATCCTATTGATTTTCAGCGATTTCCGATAATTACTGCCTGAGTTATGACCCTCAATCACTTCAAAAAACCTTGTGGACGCTCTAGATCTAGAGGCCAAAGTTAATATCTGATTGACTTTAAATTAATACACAGTGTTTAAGATCAGGAGACGAAGAATCCTATTGATTTTCATTGATTTCTGATAATTACTGCTAAAGTTATGGCCCTTGATCACTTTGAAAAATCTTGTGACGCTCTAGAGGCTTATGTTATCATCTGATTGACTTCAGATTGATACACAGAGTTTAAGGTCTTGAAACTAACAAGCATATTGATTTTCAATTAATTTTGATAACTTGAACTTTATAAAAACCAAGCAAATTCTAATGATTTTCTGGTAATTACTTAATGAGTTGTTACCCTTAATCAGATTTTAGTGTATTATAAATGTTTCATTACTGAAAAAGTAAAAATATGCGACAACTCTTGTTGACTGCCCGGATCATATAGCTGCTGTGGGCATATGTTTCGTTGCCTGGCAACCTATCTTTATAATTCTGTATAGTCACTGATATCTTTGCGATGGCTTTATTCTTCTGTAACAAGATTTGAATAAAAATCGGCTAAATAAGTGCAGTGTGTTCTTCAAAAGGAAAGAAGTACAAGTAGCAAAAAAAATAAAATAAATACTTTCTGATCGGAGACCACTAGTTCCCACCGCCCCAACACCCCTGTTAGCAATGACTCAACAGATTAAGTATCTCTTTTGTTTGCAGCCAATGGTCAGTTAATAGCTGTTCCTCAATTGACCCAACAACAGCGAGGTCAAGCACCAGGTACTACTATTACCATTCCACATATACCAGGTCAGTTACCACAAGGTATTACCATGCAACAGATACGACAAACTACAGCTATTAGAACAGTTAATCCAGTAAGTAATCCTATCCATCAATGTGTTCTTTCCAGATTGGGTCTCCATTCTGTTTGGTTCCTACAACTTTTCAAAACCATATCCAACTATTGAATGTGCCAGGAGAATGAATGAATGAATGGATGTTGTTGGTATGGATTATTAAAAGTTATAAAACTTATAATTTATATCTGTATCAAGTTTTCCTATGATACCAAGTGAAGCAAGTGAGTAATGACTGAGTGCTTTGTGGAATGCTAGTAGTTGGTCTGATGGCAATGGGCATACCAATTCTCTTCCCCCCCCCCCTTCCAAAGTGCAGAACTGTATATTGTCTCATTAATGTACAAATGCCTGCCACCTGAATGTGATTTTTTCTAGTTAAAAGATAAATGTTGTATTAGTAAACATGAGGTCATCTAGCTGATAAAATAGTCCACTTTTATTTTTTTAAGTAATTCCTTTCAAGCTATACAAAGAAAAATATCCTGGTTCTCTTTCAATCCTTCCAAAGGCTTTTTTTTTTTTGTCAAAGGATCACTACTCGGTTGAATAACTTTTCACAAACATCATATTTCATGGTTTTGCCTTTATCTCATCATCTGTTTATACATGGTGTTAATAGGAATTCACTAAAATAAATACCAATGTGAATGATGCTCAATCTTCCATCCCAAAGAGTATCATTTCAGTCATTTTACAACATGTAGGATGCTCTTAAAAGATTGATTCCTGATATAATTACAGTATGTGCAAGTTCTTAGAACCAGAATATCTTTTTTATATATGGCCTAAATTGTATAGTTTTCTAATAGTATGTTGTTTATATTAGAATATGGTTCAACCACAACAGTTGCATGGCATGCGTACAGTATCATCAAATCAAACTAGTCAAGTAAGTATTGTTACGATTAACACACACCATGTCTTCTTTAGTGCTGTTGTCTTCACCTTTTTTTTAGTTGACTTCAACAAAGTCTAGCACACATTGCTTTATTATATAACCAAAGCACATACTTGCAGTAAAGTTGCATGCCTACCTAATAAATGCTCTCTATATTAATAGATGTTAAATTAATCTTCTATCCATGATAATAATTAATTGTAACAAAGATCTCTAGTTTTGTTGTAGAATATATATGTTAATGTCTATATATGTGTTTTTGTAATAGTTATATTTAATAGGCTCTAGTAAATGATAAAGCCTATATGGGGTTTTGTCTCTACCTTACAACTCAATTCAAATGATAACAAATGTTATGATGTTAAAAGGTGATATTGGGAAGTCAAGGCTGCAGTCTGTATTATTCAGTTCAATTACTACCTTTCAATCTGAAAATTTGAGATTTAAAAATTAAATAGTTGTCAGAACATTGCTGGCAAAAAAGCTATTGGGAAATAAGGCAGCTTGTGTAAAAAGATAACACAACAAGATTATAATTTCTCTGCTGGCTTGCCAAATGCTGCCTAGAAATCATCTTGTAATCAGTTTGTTGATAAATAAATGAAAGGTACAAAATTTTGATTGTGGTCTTCTTAACAAGAATTACATTAAATGCTCTTCAAATACCATGACAATATTATTGAAATGTGAGTTGTATGGTTGATATATGCATGGTTGTAAACAACCCATGTAGACATAAACATATCTCATTTAGAATTGGGCAATATATACTCACTGCTAACAGTGAGGATTGCTGGCAAAATTTAATAATGAATTATCAAAAATCGTGAATTTCAAATAAATGGTAAGTGTCATCAGTTGTTCTAAAACAAGACAGCCTGCACTAGCTCATTCTGTAGGACACTTGTCATTGTTTATAGAGGGAGCTATCTGATGAAAAGGGACTTGTTTTCAAATATTACTATTTGCGTAACCAAATACTCGAAACGATTCTGCAAATTATATTTAAATATCGTCCAATACTAAATTGATATATTCTATTCTGAGTTATGTTAATTTTGTGTTGTATTATTTTTTTGTTTTTATTGCTAGAACGAAAGAATGGCTCATCCCCACCAAAACCCTCATGTATCCCAACATCATATATCTGAACATGGTCAAAATCCATCCATGTCTCAAACTCAGCATCAACACCCTCCTCCTTCTCACCATCAACAACATCCTCCTCCCTCTCAACACCCTCAACATCCCCCTCCACTCGTACATCAGCACGCTCCCCCAACTCATCAATATCGACCTCCTCATACACAACATCAACCCCTTCCACATTCGATGAACCACTCATATCCTCATCATCAACCCCATCCATCCCAGCAACATGTTATGCCACCCTTGCAACATGTGCCCCATGCTCAACATGCACATCTTCAGCCAAATACTTCCGTATCACAACAAATGTATGGCATGCAACCTCGCCCTCGTAACACTGTAAGTAGTTGTTTTTCTTATGTTTAGTATTATTATTCTCCATAGTTTATCTTATTCTCCATAGTTTTTGCAGGAGGTGTGGGGAGGGAATTTATTAGTGGTATTTTATTGATATCTTGGAGTTGGAGGGATAATGATCATTGAAATACAATGGATTAGTGAAAACACTTTTTCTGAAACTCAGTTTTAATTATAAGTTTCTTATATTTTGATGATTGGTAATTCGCAATTTTAACAATAATTCAGAGTCAGACTGTATGTGTGTATATATTATAAAAGGAGTAAGAGCAGATAACAGGTCGTAAGACATTGTTCTATCTAGTTAAATTCTTATCTCTCAAATAACAACCTGTGAAGTTTGGAGCTGTTAGATTATTTAGATCGACAATTTTAAAATAACATGGTGTGACAAATACTTCAATTACACCAAACTACATGAGTATGAATACCCAAAACAACTGGTTCTTTATTCACCAAAGTATTTTCCATATAAAATAATCTTTTGTGTGCTTTCTTTGAAATAATTTAGGCAATAACTACCCCAATCAAAATGTTAGAATATGGTCAATTTTAAAATAAAACAACAGTATGAATTTAAGTCTTTAAAAACAGTTATTTTATGGTCTCAGGGCTGCTGTAAGAGAAGATTTATTTCTGTCAGGGGGGAAAAATGGGCCTACTCTAGGTTTCTACATTTGTTCACAGATCGAAGGGTTATGCTTGTATCTACACTTTTTATTATTAATTTATCATTTTTATTCTTGGGGTTAGTATGAAAATGCACGCGAGGAGGTAGTCATATTCACTGAAGTATTTTCTATTAGAATATAATCCCTTTATGTACTTTCTTTAAAATAATTTAAGCAATAAGTACCTAAAAGCAGTGAAATAATTATTTGAGAATGGTAATGGTTGAATGGAGGTTTATTGTGTTTTTTTATTATTATTAATTTTTCATTATTATTCTTTGAGTTTGTATGAAAAAAATGTGTGGGGGAGTGAGTAGAATATTGGTACCAGTATTTGGTTGTTTAGTGATAAAAGCCTCCAATACTTATAATTATGTATTGATATATATATTATTTTATTATTATAATTTATCTTGTATATTTTTATATATATATTTTTTTATATTGTATATTTAGTAGCATGATTGTTGACTTTATAATTGTTTACTTTATTATCATTTTCTCTGATAGATTTCACTATTTTTCTCTTCTTAGTTCTAACATCTAACATTGACAACTCTTTTTAGACAAAAATTTGTAAAGCTTTAATGACGTCCTAAATATTTAGAAAAAACACACATTGCCGATGCATTATACAGTATTTTATGTATAAAAGAATTTATATCACAATTAAAGACAGTACATGAAAATAGTAAATAAATTCCATATCTTCTTGACGCTTATTCATAGTTAATTTGTATCACTTTTTTTTTATGAAGCTGTTCAAATCTTTTTTTAGTTTGTTTATTCTTTCACTTGAAATATTTTCGAAAATATGCTTAATTAAACTCATTGATTCTAGATTGATAGAAGTTTGTCTCCCAATAAATACTCCAGATAATTTGCTTGTTTAAATGCAGTTCCTATATTCTTATGTATCGCTTTATAGAATACACTACTGTACCTCATGCTTAATCCTAAAACCATTTATAAATACATGTTAATTGTTATTATTAAACGTTGATCAGAAATGACAGGATTCACACTGTCGGGATTCAAAAAATTAAATAGAATATCAATCTTATTGTCATATTAATTTTGTTGAACAGTAGAACATTTAGACATTAGGTAAATGATAATATATATGTAGTTATCATGTTTTCTGTAGAATCCTGTCATACAGCTAGATGGTACAGGTGACACAAGTTCATCTGATGATGATGACTTTGATAATGATGATGATGATGATAACGAGAATGAAAATGAAAATGATGAAGAAGCACAGGGAGAAGAAGAAGTAAGATCATACTACAGTACCATCTCCAATCCTTTTTCACTTAAAATGAGTTTATTCTTTTAAATAATTTTTAGAATGTTCTAATAGATATCTCTGGATCTTAAGAAATACAGTATACTATGAGGGAAATTTTGCCCGGACAGTGTAATAATGACCTCTTATTTCAAATTCCAACTGTCAAAGGTTCTTTTACGTGCACGCCAATGTGTACACAGGACAACTATACATTGTCCCTTGCCAGGCCCTCCGTCCTACATCACTGACATGAGTAAACCACACTGGAAGATCCGAATGAACTTTCTCAGCTAATGCCGGGATTGAACACAGGACCTCCGGGATAATGAACCAACTTCTTACTCACTGAGCCACCACAGCTGCTCAAATGGAGAGTGGTTCTTTAAGCAATGTTATTTATGCAGGAGTTGTACTGAATGTATTTTAATCATGATGTTGATGGTGGTTTTCAGGAACCACTGAATTCAGCTGATGATATTAGTGAAGAAGATCCAAATGAATTATTTGATACAGACAATGTTGTAGTTTGTCAGTATGACAAGGTTAGTCAGCTTTACAAGAGTTACTTCCCATTGAATACTATTAGGTGTCCTCACCAAGTAAATCCTCAACATTCCTTAGTTGAACAATGAAATAGACTTTTATGTCTGATATATATATGTGATAATTGGGGCTACAATATGGCAGAATAAGAAAATCACAAATTGAATTATCATCTGATAGTTCAGACAGACATGCACATGATCATAAAATGGTGAGCATATGATTCCCAAGATCAGCTGAAACAAGAAGACATCATGTTAGCTATCTCCCTTTCACAGAAATAAATTCTACTTGAGCAGGCAATATTTAAATGGCACTACTGTCTGAGTTTCTTCTCCATCACAATAGTTGATAATAAATGTATAATGTAACCTTTTGGGCCATAGTTTAAATGGTGGTCAACAAGTTTTTGTACATGATACACTATTAGTTAAAGTGTTAATGTAGCCTATGATAAATATAACTATTAAAGTTTTAAACAACTACTGTAAGTGTAAGTCACCAGCTCTGAAGGATGGTGGTCTTAAAATGGCTTGGTTTGGATTCCAAGCTTGTACATGTCAAGGAGTAACCCAACATCCTGGGATTTTTCCAGGTCCTCTGCTTTACTCCCACTGCAAACTCTGCTTTACTCCCACTGCAAAAGAATGATGAGTGCAAATTATTGAAATAAAATTATACCATGTTAGTTCTCGAAATGACCTAGTTTGTCTCAGGTGGCTGTTGAACCCTATTCATCTGTCATTTGGCCAGATCTGTACACAATCGTAATCAATTGTTATGTAATCAGACTTCTCCAGATCAGATTAATGTGTGGGACACATAATCAATTACTTGTGTATAAATTGTATTATTTATTTTTCAGATCAATAGAAATAAAAATAAATGGAAATTTCATTTAAAAGATGGTATTATGAATCTCAAGGGTAAAGATTATGTTTTTCAAAAAGCAAGTGGAGAAGCAGAATGGTAGTCTTCGCTTTATTTTTATTTATTTAAATATGTTTGTATTTTTGACATTTGTACATGATGTATTTGATACACCTATTCCTTTTATTTATCAAAATAAGTGTTTAAGTGATATTGAGTCGAAATTTCTTTTCATCAATCAGCCTTTTATCAAACTAAATGTTGAAGATGTATATTGAATTAGAAATGGTAACTGTTTGAGCTCCATTTCTTTCAGTGTTCTTGAATAATGACCATTGCTTCTCTTGACAATGTTACTTACTCTAAATACACATTATTTTGGTTGCCAACTAATTTGAGTTTTTGGTTCGTGAAATGCGGGATACAGTAAGTTTGAAAATGACCAAATGAATGAATTATTGTTCAGGCGCTAGCTAGTGATCTAAGAAAATCAAGATGGTGTCGTTTTATTGGATTAAACATAATATTTGGACAAATATATGCTTTTTGTTAAGTGATTAAGACTTTTTATTGTGTATGGTCTGAGTGAATGACTATATTTGCTGTTTAGTCTGGAATATTGTGCCTTTAAATGAGTGATTTCTCATTAATTAAGAGGTTTTTTTCAATAGGTATTTTTAGGCTCATGCAGTATAGATCATATCATGATTTTGGTAAAAAGAATTGATAAATAAAAAGAATATGAAGTACACTAAATATTATGGCAAAGATAGAAATATTTTGTTGTTTGATTATGTTTTTACCAAAAAATATCATTTTCACTTTGAGTTGATTGATTTGCTTTTGATAATGGGATGTTATATTTTATAAATAGGAAGATGTATACTTCGATCCTTGATTCCTGTAAATATGTAAATATTACTTATATCCCGAAAACAGGATAAAATATTCATGATGCCAGCATACTTCATACAGTCCATGTTTATATGTATAATATAGTAGGTTTAAGATATGACATCAGTGTGGATGTATTGTAATGACATTAGTATTTATCAGGAAATACTAGCATTATTATTATTCTAGAAAGTGGTGCATTTATATTTTTTTACCTTTAGATAAAGCTTGTAGTGTTTATGTATTTAGAATATAGATGGTGTAAGAATATTGATAAATTAGTATAAATTTGATATTGACTATAAATTAAGTTTCTGTAATTCAGAAATTGAACTGTATAAGAGTTTTTTAGAATCACATGATGAGTTTACATTATACTACCTGGCATTTAAATTAAACCACTTGAGAACTTACTTTGTAACACTTATTATAGTCAAATTTAATTTTTTTATGTCTGTGTGCGTGGGTGGGTGTGTGTGTGTGGGGGGGGGGGTGAAGTTTAAACTTGTTAGATAAACTCTTTGAAAGGGGTGAAATTAAATTCATTAGATGTGTATGCAAGATATTTTCTAGTTTTAGAGACTGTGTGTGAATATATTTTTGGGGTCTGCAAAATCTGTGGCGAAAAAAGGTCTGTGTGAAATACAATTAAGTATAAAATTGTTGCTATTCGGATACTGAATTTGACAAGTCACATTTGTGACAAGCTGCCTAGCTTGTTAAGCCCACATTCAGTTCTGTCTTCAGACTAATTTTACATCAGACGTGGATACAGAGGTGGTGCCAGAATGCTTTCCTCTCTTTTCTATAGTCAAATTCCTTTTTTTTATTTTATGGTATGGTTGTTGGGAGGGAGGAGGGAGTTGTTGGGACACAGCCAAGTGGCAATATATTAAATAAGACACAATGAGCATATCCTTTATTGTATAAAAACATGGAAAGTATAGTTGTATTTGAACAAGCTTCAAAGCACTAGAATATGCCGATTGTCTTTCGTTTCTTACATCTCTTTATAGAAAATTTGTAAAATGTGAAAAAATGTTAGGATACACTGAATTAGATATATCTCTTTACTTTAAGTAGTATAAAATTCATTATAAATGAATACAAAATTATTATTTTCTAGGTATAGACATAATTATAAACCTTGTGAGTAGTAGTTTGTAAATATTTTTATCAGTGTTCATATCATATTTATGTTCAGATCCATTGAATACAGAACCTAATTAAATAAAGTGTAATTAATAATATTATAACTAATATAATAAAGTGTAATGATCATAATTTGTCAAAATACATTTCATTGTCTTATTTATCATTTAATATTAATGTATAATTCAGCGAAAAGTTAGTCATCAAAACTACCCAGAAAATGTGTCACACTGGTTGTTAGATGAATTTGAAGTTGTCTCTAAAGTTTCTAAGCAAATGAGTCAAATGGCAGTATTTAGAATAGCAGATTGTTTTGTGTGTGCATTAGCCTAAACGTTTATATGACTGAAGTTTTCATTTAATATTTCTCTCAGTCCAAACAAAGCCAAAGTAAGATAGGTGGAATAATACTAGGTGTAGTTTATAGGGTAGGTTTGTGTTTTGGGACAATTTATCAAATTTAGTAATGAGAAAGATACATAATTAACATAAAGCATAGTTTTCTATTGTCTTCATTTTCTTTGTAAATAAATATCAAGATTTTTTGTTTTGTTTTGATTTATTATTCTAACCTAAGTTAACAAATATTTGGTTTTGGCTATATCCCAGAAAAATGTATAGAGTTACTATATTTTGTTTAATTAACTAATTAAAATTTGATTTTTTTTTGTATAATTTATGTGTACATAATTGTATATTCCTTTAATGAAAGGAACAAGTGATAATTTATTGGCAATATTATGTTAATTATGACCTCATAATTGAAATTGTGTTAAAATGGTTAGGTTGTGTGTGTAAGTTTATATCATGAACTTAATAGAAATAAGGATGGGAAAATTTAACTTAATTGTTTGTAATTAACATATATAAAGATACAGTAATTACTAGTCCAATGCCATTGTTTGATCAATAAAATATTACAGCCAAAGATTGCTTAGGTTATATATTTATTCTATTTATTTGTTTGGAAGGCACTCTAAATGAAGGTACAAACGAATTGAAACTGCCAGGTTAGAATGTCACCGTGGGATTTAACTGATTGAATGATTTGTATTTGAACTGTCCAGAAAGCTATATTTCATGGAGACGGTCAGCGATTTAATGTCATTTGGAAAAATACCTCTGTATTGGTGTAGTTTTCTGCAGAAAAATTCCAACACTGAAATTTCAATATTTACAACTGTCGGGTAAACTTTGGTGAAGGCGTGCGTTTCAGGAACATGGCAAGCCCTGGTCTTTGTTTATAAATCCCACAATTTTGGTTTGAGTATATCGTCGTCAGTTCTCCTGTGTGTGTTTGTCTGCGCGTGAAACTTGTTGGAACAAAATAAATCCGTTTCAAACCACCATTAATAATTAAGCCATCTGGTATCCAACGAGTTGTAGTACGTCGATATAACAGTTCTCTCTCATTCCCCTTTTGCATGGCCATTTTTGGTTTAGAATCGAATAAGAGGGTTTGAATTGACATTTTCATCCAGATTTGGTAAATATAAGAGGATTAACACTAGGTTGGTTACAATGGTGATGTACGGCGGATATTTACATTCATAATGTGTGTTTCTGTGCCCCCTACAGGCCACAATTCAAGTGATCATTTTGAAACTTTACATACTTATTCCTTATAACCTAAGGATGACCCCTACTGTTTTTGGTGCATGCCCGACCCCCAGGGTCAGAGCAACGCTCATTTCCTGTATTTGTTTGTCGTCTACAGGCTGCATTTTGTAACGTATCATCTTGGGAACTTTGCATACTTATTGTTTGTACCCTAAGGAACATTTCTATCGTTTGGGGTGCATGCCCAATCCTCCGGGGTAGAGCCAAGCCCATTTTCTTTTTGTGTGTCGCTTACAGGCCACAATTCTATATCGATGTCTTGAAAAATTTTCATATGAATTCATTCCTTATACCCTAAGGATGATCCCTATTGTTTTGGTGCCTGTCCGACCCCCCAGTGGCAGAGCCATGCCCATTTCTTGTATTTGTCATCTACATATCACCTTTTTTTATACTTATTCCTTATACCCTAAGGCTGACCTCTATTATTTTGGGTGCATGCCTGAACCCCTGGGACAGCCACGCCCAATGTTTGTGTGTCTTGTGTTTTTTACCTACAGGACGCAATTCTTAACAGATCCTTTTGAAACTTTGCATACCTATTCCTTATACCCTACGGATCACCCCTATTGTTTTTTGGTGATTGCCCAACCCCCAGGGGCAGAGCCTTACCCATTTTTCTTTGTGTGTCTGTGTGTTGCCTACAGACCACGATTCTTAATGAATCGTCTTTGAACTTGGGATATGTATTCCTTATAGAGAGAGAGAGAGAGAAGGGGTTTAACGTCCACTCGACACAAGCTAGGTCATTTCGGGACTAACATACGGTTTAATTTTATTTCAATAATTCGCTTGCGCGTAGGGGTCTTTAGCAGTGGGAGGAAACCGGAGGACCCGGAGAAAACCCACGAGGTTGGACAGGCGACCCTACTCCTTGCCACGTACAACCGGGGATTCGAAACCACGCCAGTTGACTCAATGACAGACTTTATGATACAGCGCGCGCACGCTAACCATTCAGCCATCCAACCCCCCGTATTCCTTATAGCCTAAGGACGACAACTACATGTCCCGACCCCTAGGGGCAGAACCATGCCCAATTATTGTGTTGAATGGATCAACTTGGTACTTGGCATATGTATTCCTTATAGCCTAAGGACGTCAACTATTGTTTTTGGTGAATGCTCCGACCCCCAGGGGCAGAGCCACTCCTATTTTTGCCTTTAGCGCCCAAAGGCCACAATTGTGAATGGATTATCTTGGAACTTGGTACACTTATTCCTTGGCGCATGCCCCGACCCCCTGGGGCAGTGTCACATCAACTTTTTTGTTAATATTTTGTCTATAAATTTGGCAAAACAAATCCAGCACCTAGACTTCTTTGCCTCTTATCATATTACAGCCATTTCATATTTCCTTCTTTTCATTTCAAGAAGTACCACAACAATCAAAGCAGGAATGTGGACGTATATTGTAGCATTAGCGATGCTCTTGTCTGTAGTGAAAAGCGTTCAGTCCAACGAAAATTTAGGAAAATGTTGGAGATGGTCAAATTGACAAAAATTAACATTTAAGTCAGTGGGAAAATTAATGGTGGACAGCCTCGTTTAGAATAGAATAGAATAGAATAGAATAGCATATTGTATCCTGGTTTAGCATCGATTTGTCTGCTTTGGGACACGATAACTGAGAGAAGTCACAAAACTTGGTTTATAGTTTCATTATAACCACTTAGTTCGGTAATGATTAGTTTTCGCTCAGGCTAAACTGTGTGATAAGCAATTTGCTTATATGATATTTTATAAAAAGACGAATGTGCAAGTAATTATTGCGTGTCTATTTATTTTGGAATTTGGGCGGTGGTAGTACCTCCAGTGATTTTGTCCAAATCTTGTGATCGTTGTGGCCGCTCTTTAATCAAATTTATCATCCGATTTACTTGAAATTTCTTATATTACTGTCCTGTTTCCTTTAGGACTTGTCTTTTTATGTATTCTTTATTTTACTGAGACGACAAATCCAAACCATTTGCGATAATTCCCTTTATTGTTTCCCTAGATTACTAATCATAGAGAATCAAAATGTTACAATGCTGATATGGTCGTACATTGCATTGCCGGACAACCTACATTCCTAACATTGCTGTTGGGTTAAAAATATGGAAGAATTGTACTCGTATTATAATTCGGGATCATGACTCGTGCGTATGCTCTACATGCTGGAATCCCATTTCTAATTTCCGACTCTTACACAGTATGAGAGTTAAATCGATTACAGTTGCCTATTCTAGAACCAAATCACGAGTCTGTATAAACCTAGCATTCATGAAAGAAATATTTAGAGACAGAGCGCAAAAAAGAGATAACAACTGCTCACCGTTTTCCCGTCCAAATCAGAATCTTTTTAAAATATACACGTTTCCAAAGCGGCAGTCCACCTTGCCAAATGATTTATACCATCATCCATCCCAGTGGCGTGCAGAGGTCTGATGATACCCAGGGTCGACCTCTTGATTGTATGTCCCAAAAGACTCTCAAGTACTCAGAAATATGAAAAACGTAGACATTTTACATTTTGTAAAAATAGACCAAATAAACTTTTTATTCAAATTAAATTGGACTGTCTGTACAACAATGTTAACAGCAATAATGTCAAATTTCACTCCACTGATCTGTCGATACCTTGATGGGAAAGTATAATACACAGGTTAATTAATAATCGAGACAAGAAAACGATATATAAATAATACGTAAATAATACTGCGACATTTTAAGGATGTACATCAATACACAAGCCTTCAGTGTCTCATTTTACGTTGAACTGTAATGTCAGATATGTTATAATAAATATCTATATTCTGACAAATAAGCAATTTTTTCTCCGCAAAAATTTACTAAACCATGGTTGAAAGCGCCCAAATAAAGATAGATAATAATATGTACACATCAATTAACTTAACAGAACACAAGACGAGCAAAGCTGCACCCTGAAGGGCCAAAAGTTTTCACAACAAAGATTGGGTCGCATCCTGCTCTTCTTCGTCACTGCTTTGGCAAATTACTGACTGTTCAACTGGACTGTTCCGAAAATTTTGTCGTCTTTCTTGAACTGTGCTTGGGGACGGTTTAACAACCTCACACGCCGCTTGTCCGTCATCTCCTTCAGGGGTATTCTGTTCAGCGCTAGGAATTTTTTCTATTTCTGCACTTTCCCGCCAAGAGGAATCACTCAGATAAGACGTCTCAGTAGCACTGCTCAAACTAGTCTCCATACTAGCCCGTTTGTCATAAGATGTGCGACATAGACGTTTTCTGTTTTCCCTCTGACAAGCTGGATAAAGAATGACATATTCACTAGCACTTCGCACGCGATTTGAGCCCCTGTCATCCAGGATGTCCTTCAGACCTTCGGTAGCTTCAATAATACACGTAGCTTCACAGTCAAAGTCATCAGAACCTTGACTCGTCTCTGGTACGGTACTTAGTTTTCTTTCTTTGTTTTTGTCGTTTCCTGACCAAGCTCCACTAGAAACATTTGGCGTCTGTTCGATATCTTGAACTCGGGCTGTTGGTGATTGTTTGGGTGTAAGGCTAGGGGTAGTAATTGGGGTGCTGTGTGGTGTACTGCTACCATTTAAAGACATCTTGGACCCCTTGTGGATACCTTTGGATATGTGCGCTAGGACTGAGAGATCAGGTGCCTGCTGGACGTTGTGAAGATGCATTCCATTGTGTCTTGAATTTGATATTGTTTTGGAACCGGAGTAGGTACCTTTGTAACGGTTAGCCCTCGCCGTACAAATACCATATCTCCCCAACAGTATGAACACGTCTTTTCTGAACTGCTTGGTCAAAATGACGTACAAGAATGGATTGGCACAAGAGTTCAAAGGGTAAAAGAAAACAAGCAATATTTTGGAGTTTGTAATGTCAATAAGTGGAAATCCGGCGGACGCGGTTAGTCCAAAAAAGGCAATGGGTGCCCAACATACGAAGTTTGTAAACACAAGAAGTGACATTCTTTTAGCGATTGTAGCGTCATTACTATTGGCGGTAGTGTCACTTTTTCTCACTTTAAAATACATGTTTATATAACAACAACAAATAACAAGAAACGCTACACCATTAAGGATCAACAATGAACATATATATCCGCGGTCCAATAAATCAGTAGCTTCCATGGGCAAACAGATACTCACTGTTCCATAACCACTGATACCAAGCAATGGCAAAGAGGCCATCAATATAGCGTAACACCATCCAATTACCATGAGTGCAGAGGCCTGACGTAGCTTGAGTCTTTTAGTTAAATGTATGGCATAGCTTATAGCATACCACCTCTCTATTGTTAAAACTGTTAATATGTAAATAGAAAGTTCACTGGCGAATACGGTAAGGAAACCAGCAATCTGGCAGCCACCATCATTTTGCCAAGAGACTGCGTGGTTGAAATATTCGCCTAATGAATGAATATCAATTGAAGCGATTAAAAGTAAATAAAAACCCATAAGAAAATCAGCCACGGATAAGTTACACATGAGGAATTTAGGAACTGTCATTTTACTTCGCCCAGTAATGAGGACGAGAATGACAACCAGGTTTCCTAACAAAGCTGCTAATACCACAAACCAGACCACTACTCTCAACCATTCATAGCCCATCACATCTTCACAAGGATTAAAGGCGTTTGGTTGAGGAGTACAGATAACTTCACTGTAAATTCTAGAAATGTTTCCACATGCCACGATCTGCGGTTCTGTATTGTTCTCCGATAATGTCGTGTTATCATGATAAATTTCAAAGATCGTAGACTTTTTAGTTGTCTTAGTTCTCGGAAAAGGCGTAGAAGGCTCTGGGAATGTTCCGAAGCCGTTGCTACCCATTGAATCACGAAAAGACCCACCAAAATCACCCCATTTGTCATGCTGGTCACCTGATCGACGTATTCGAATCCGAAAGTGTTCCGTCACTGGGGATTGCGTAAGTACCCATGTGGATGACGTAGACACTGTTTGTGGTGTTTCACATTTTTTGCGAACCGTTTCCTGGAACTCGTAAGCCTTCCACAACTGAGGGTCTTGCTTTTCTGGGTGCTGAAAGGCGCAACAGTGGTGTGCGTAAGTAAGCCGGGCAACTTTAATATTAGAAAACTGAAGAACACTTGGGAATATCCTTAGAGTCGGTGTGTGTTCTATGTTGAGATCTTCTATACTGGTAAGACCAACAGTTGGTAAATAAGATATGCGAGTTTTCGACAAGTTTCTGAAATGAGAAATAACCATCCACTAAGAGTTTGTCATTAAATCCAAGTTTAACAAAACATAATTATTATGTGCTTTAGTAATTGCAGTAAAGTATATGGAATTGTATTTCCATAGTTGAATTGGTTTGGAAATAAGAATTCACAAAAATATAATCCTTAGGGTTTTATTAGGTTATATATTTTACCCTCAAATTTTATTATCAAATGAAAAGAAAACCCAAAACCACCAATATTCTTGTGCATACGAAATTCAAATTATAGACTGTAAGTGATTAAAAGGTTTACAATAAACAAAATAACGAGAACATCATATTCAGTAGATTTAACAAGGATATGTAGGATCAAACTTATATCTGTAGAAAGAAGAAATATGTTGATTTTCATCGATTTCTGACTTTAATTGTCGGGGTTATCACTATTGTAGATGTAACGCAACCTTTGTTAACCGAGCAGTATCAACTATCATCATTTTGTCTTGGTGAATGTATGTATGTATTAGTGTGAGGGCCATCATTATTCTACATCATATTTCTACAATTATTACGGGCATAATGTATCAAGGCAGGCCCATTAACCTGTCGATGGTAGGGGGAGCCCATATCCTATTTACTAAGGACACAGCCCCCTCCCCTGTTTTACTTTAAATCATACCCTTTCTCCACATCGATCTCTTCATCAAGGAATACAAAGTATCCCACAGGGAGATTATAAAAGCTCATTAACTATTCCTTTCACAACGGTAACAAAGACTCGGTGAAGTATTATTCTGTTTTGATTAACGACAAACTCTCTCTCAATGTAACAAGACGGGTATCTGTTGATAGACCGCGGTAATCTATATCGCCCGAATTTATTAGAGTAATATATCTTCAGATTACCGGAATTTGTCTGTTTTTATCTTTGTACTTACAGTGATTTCAGTTCTTGGATACCATCAAAGGCAAATTCTCCAAGGGTTCTCAGTGAAGGGTTGTTTTCAAAATCTCTGAAAAAAAAATTTCATGATCATTGATGTGACATTTATTTGAAGTACTGAAAGTAAGGATAATAGAACGGAATCAGTTGCGGATTTAATGGTACATGTACAATAAGTTCGTGCCACATTCTCTTTGCAGGTTTAACAAATTAACCGGTCTCTGTCATGCTGCTGTCTTGTCGATTTTTCAAGCCGCATTGGTCCAGTTCAGTGTCTAATACGTAACCTGACTTTGAAGGCCATTTATAACTTACATTTTAGCGATATGAGATCCCGCAAAGGCTTCATCTTTAATCTCCACTAAGTCATTGTTTTCTAATCGTCTACAAAAATATAGGTACATACATTTAAACAAAAAGGAAGCACCATTAAACAGTGGAATGTATGATAGGTGATATACAATGTTAAATAATTTTAAGACAATGATAATAAACAATGGAACGGTTCATAAATGATGAACAATGGAAGACAGTGTAAACACTGGAACGCTTTACAATAGAAATGATAAACTATGGGCAATAACATAAATGAGAAACAATGGAAAATATCATAAATTTATGATAAATCATGGGAAATAACATAAATGATAAACAATGAAAAATATCATAAATGATAAACAATGGGAAATAACATAAATGATAACAAATGATAAACCATGGAAAATATCATAAATGATAAATCATGGGAAATAACATAAATGATAATAAATGGAAAATATCATAAATCATAATCAATTGAAAATACCATAAATGATAGATTAATCATATTTTTCGAAAAATAATATTGAAGAAGGTATCTAATTTTATTCTAAACAATAAATAAACAGAACATACTCACAATAACCAAGTTTTAATTGATTGGAATGTCCTCGATTCGATTACTTTTATTTTATTTGACGACAGATCTCTAGAAAAAGAAAAGAAGTCATACACAATAGAATTACTTTTCTTTGATGTGTTATAAAAAATACTTGTACACCAATTTAAATTGTTTCTACATTGTACATTTACATACAAGAAAGTATGCTTTACCTTCACAAAGACAAAATGAAAAAATAACGCGCAGCACCATGGGTCTTCTGTCAGACGTGGAGAGCGGGCCGTCAAATCCGGTCGCCACATCCTACGTACGACCCATGCATCTTTTCTTACTACATATCTTAGCAGCCTTGTCATCGTCCAGTATTATCACCTGTAGTCTTTGCTTCCCCCTCACGTTGTGTATTTACTTCTTACTGTTTTCTTAAGACGTTTGTCTTTCCAGGAATAACAATGCAACAGTTCGTTTTTTACATTTTATATATCATAGCCGGATATATGGATACAAGCATAGTATAGATTACAATTCTAAAGTCATTCTCAAACACTAGCCGGCCAGACTCGATGGGCGAGTCTGCAGATAGAAACTGCTACATCGTTTCCCTTCCAGAATCAAGCTGCTGTCTGGCGAATTCTCATAAGTATGATAGTTTTGTAGCTTTGGGTTTTGGACCTTCAATTATCTAATTGGTAAAATATGATGTAAATAATTAGAGAGATTGGTTAATTGAGCCAAATGACGTCGAAACCCACCCTTATTTGGAAAGTAGAAATTTACCGGAGTAACTTCCCACAAGATATATGTTATCAACCTAGAATTGAATGTTTAGCACATTATGACTCTTTTTTATATAACAATATGTCATTCATTCACTAAGTTGATATAAGTACATACTATGTGAATCTAATAACTTGCCGCTATCATTAATTTCAAGAGCAAAAATTCTACAAATGTGTTACAAACGACAGGGTTCCTTGAAGATTGTAGCCATACCGTATTCCACTGATAATTCAAATTCTACGACTTTCCTTTTTAAAATTTTTTGGGAACACATCATGTGCAATACGTTTTGTGACCTTTCTTAAAGATCGACACAATTTCCTCATGAGCCCTGCAGGTCATCCACCAAACGCCTAGAAACTGAAGGTTCTGTTGGGCCAACATCAAGACTCCATACAAAACACACACATATATATATAGAGATATATACTTACATTTCGTACATGGTACCATTGTGTTCTTTGGATTTGGTCTCAAACATAGAAAAATCAGGCACTTTAACCAAACCACTCTTGGTAATTTTTCTGGAATCAAAGGTTAGATTTAAATATAATACCGAGATGAGTAATCGAGTGTAGTTTAAACGTAAATGGGATACTAAGTCAATATTTAACTAATATTCTAGAAAGTAAACGATACTCACAGTGTATTTAACTCGTTAAATAAACCAAGAGCCGCTTTACTGACAGTAGATAGCTTTAAACAATCTATTATCCATCTGAAAACAAATACAACTCATTTATCCTCATTAATACCATACATGTAATTTGCTAATCTATAACACTGTATTTTCAAACATCTCATATTTTACAGTTAGCAGCAAAGTAATAATGGTGATATATGAACAAAAACGACTAGTCCTGTCAATGAATTAACACAAGAAATGTTTTTATTTTCCTCGTGACCTCGTACTCATCCCTTAAAAAATCCAACGGTTAAAATCATCGTCAAATATCTTGAGACGCTACAGTTTGATGTTTAAAAAAAATCCACCATAGTATAGACTCCAGTTATATATTATTCAATTTTGCAAAGAAAGTTACAATAGCCTGATTAATATTAATAAGTAACGTCTTTTTAGATTCCCGTTAAAATGTACATCGCATGTCGCACAAAACACACACTTCTGTTACAAATGTTTCTTACACAATTGATTGTTTTAATATATATAAAAGTGACCAGTACTTACAAAATCCGAAGTTCTTTAAGCCCACCAAAAGCATTGGGCTGTAAGGTTGTTAATTCGGTAAAATTTCTAATATGTCTAAAAGAAAACAGATAAGTTCAGATAAGCATCTGATGGTGTATAAATGAAGCGTAGATGGTGCAGCAATGATATAATGGTAGATAGATTGGGAAGTAACGGGAGATAGATGGTGGGTGTAGAAATAGCAATGGTAAAATGGTTGATATATAAGGTAGTAACGAAAGGCAGTAACATGATCGATAGGTGAGGTAGTAACCGTAGGCAGGTGGCAATTAATGGTATTTAAATGGTGTAAATTGTAACATGATGGATAGTGTAGTAACGTGGAAATTAGTGATATTTAGATGTTGTAGCAACAGTAAAATGGTGGATAGTGTACTAGTAGTAACGTAGAAATTAATGATATTTACATGGTGTAGCAACGGTAAAATGATGGATAATGAACTAGTAGTAACGTGAAAATGAATGGTATTTAGATGGTGTAGCAATGGTAACATGATGGATAGTGTACTAGTAGTAACGTGAAAATGAATGATATTTAGATGGTGTAGCAATGGTAACATGATGGATAGTGTAGTAACGTGGAAATGAGAGATATTTAGATAGTAACGTGGAAATCAATATTTAGATAGAATGAATGAATAGATGAAATGGGGTTTAACGTCCTACTGTTCTTCTGCTCCTACTGGGCTAATAAAGACGGGCATACGCCATGCAGTCTGTTATGATGGCAATTTTGCGCGTACGGCGTACTCATATCGAATTCTAAGTAACCTCGGTTTTTCGTCTCACCCGAACGACTATACGTTGTTCCCTGCTAGGCCCTCCGTCCACACCACTGACAAAGGGGAACAACGCCGGAAAATCCCGATGAACATTTTCGGCCAACGCAGGTATCGAACACGGGACCTCCAAGTTGGCGAGCCAACGTCTTACCCACCATGGCTCCCGATATTTAGATGGTGTAGCCATGGTAAAATGATAGATGGTAGTAGATTGGAAATTAATGATGGCTAGAAGATATAAATGGAATGATAGATGATATGTGATGTAACGGTAGACACATGGTACAGCAACGACGGACAGACGAGGATGATGCCAATCTGCATTTCTTATCGTTAGTTAGCAAGCGGCTTTTTTCATTGTTTTCATTTCGGCCAATAATCTACCTTATTCGACCAAATGGGTGATCGTTGTCTCTCGAGTGTCATGAAGACTATATTCGCATTTGCGTAGCAAGTCAGTTAAATATAGCCACGTCGCAGTTTTATATAATTTACATAGTAAAAGTCATTGATTATTTCCTCATTTGTAGAAATTGACAAATAATATAGACAATGAATAATACTTACAATTCTCTGATGTAATTATAGTTATGGAAGGCGTCCGATGGAATGGTTTTTATTCTCATATTACTTAGATATCTGAATAAGAAGAGAAAAAATGACAGTTTCAATTCTTCAGGGGGTTTCATTTTGAAGAATTATAAGTATAAGAGTTTCATTCACGGGTTTCGTCTAAATTAGATTGTTCTTTTGTTTATTGTTTTTCCTTTATGTTTTATACTTGATCTAAACAATATTAATTAAAATATGTATACATGTACATTATACAAAAGATAATGAATTATATGGAAATGTAAGTAAGACAATAGGCATAATATCGTCGTGTTGTCATCCTTGATATCTACTGTGTTATTATAATGGTAATAATATTGTGAATTGTTTATATTTCATTCTTTCAATATTTCATGTGTTCATTATTTATTCATTCAATTAAACATTCTATGATTCTTATGTTTCTATTAATCCTTTATTATTAATAAGACGTTAAAGGAGCTAAATCGCTAATATTTGGGACCTAGAAATTGACACAAATGGGTCGCAACACATATAATAATGTAATATGAATGTATATAAACTGATTTCCGTTTTTACTCTAACTTCAAATTAGTTATGTTTGGCGAAATACACCAGAAGTCTCAATCGAATGGCAATCTCTAGCGTCTGGTTATTCCTGTCTACACCGATGGTATTTATTGTGCATGCTCTCCAGATAAGAATATGTCTCCAGATAAGAATATGACGTCACCGTTTGACATGACATGTGGAATATGTCTAGCCTCGTTCTTCGGGTCCTTTGTTACAAATGGCGCTGAAACGCATTATGGTACACGATTCGTGTACCAATGGTAAAATGTTTATTTTGTCTTAAATATTGGATATCAGAAGCCCATCTTTTCCCAATAAGATTACAACATCAATGTTGACTTAAATTGGCAAATAATTCGTGTTTTCAATGAGTTAGAGACTATTACCTACTTTAAGCTACTAATTAAATGACATACAGTTGACACGCCTTTACATTTTAACCTTTCCTCTTTAATTGTCATTAGTAACGTTTTTTGTATATTGTTAATTCCTAAGATACCATATTATTATAAATACCGATTTGTACATTGCCAAAGCTTTCTTGGTTTCATCCCGTTTCCTGGACAGTTACTTTGCTTTTCGGATGTGCTGATCTCTGTGTATGATGTTTAATGTTTTTCGGTAATAAATAATCTCAAGGATAGTTCCAGTCTTTAGTTATTATCGAAGATTCACACTGTTACATTATCATAAACATTACCATTACCGAACAGTCAGTCAAATGAACAAGCAACGGCCAAGAGATCAGATTTCAAATGTCATAAATCACATCAGTGTAATCGAGGGAGGGTCAACGATTTGTATATACTCTATAATGATTACCTCGAAAATCTGTATTGCAACTTTTAAATGTACAGTAGAATCAGTGTAATCGAGGGAGGGTCAACGATTTGTATATACTCTATAATGATTACCTCGAAAATCTGTATTGCAACTTTTAAATGTACAGTAGAATCTGCATTAAGCAGCCACCCAAGGGAATTTTCACAACTGACCGCTTAACGGGAGTGGCCTCTTAATAAAATCTTGTTGCTTTTGTGCTGACATAAATTAAATATTACGCTTGGATGCATTGGAAGCGGTAAATTTGGCCGTCGATGAATCTTGCGCCGAACGAAAATTCTTTACTAAAATCTCGGACATAACTTAACGGGAGTGGCCTCTTAATAAAATCTTGGTGCTTTTTGTGCTGACATAAATTAAATATTACGCTTGAATGCATTAGAAGCGGTAAATTTGACCGTCGCTGAATCTTGCGCCGAACGAAAATTCTTTACTCAAATCTCGGACATAACTTCTGTAAACTTGTCATTTTGTACCAACCTTCGATACTACTGCCTACCATTGTGATGCATTCGATAATATTTATCCATTTTTGTGAAGAAAATCGATGAATTAATTTTATTTTATCAAAAAGCACATGAACAAAAAAACATCGCTGATTTTATCACCGATTTACAGGGGGTGTAACTCTGTATATAATATTAAAGGAGGCGCTAAGAGAGATACTAGATGATCGTGACAAAACTCGGTACTTTTATTTTATTCAATCAGTATCAAATAATGTGTCGTTACGCGTGAAAACAATGATCAGGTTAGTCGTTTAATAAAACAAAAGATTAATTAACAGATAATCCCGGGTTGATTGTTATTTTTACATTTCTTTTTACCTGATCAGTGGGGGTCCAGTTAATCAACTACTACTCACGGGATTAGCGGGGTTGTTACAAATAACGACAAGATGGTATAATGGCCGTTGAATGGGCGACGTTTTGTTGAATTTATTAGTAAAATAGTGACCGCTGGCCGCGTTAGAGGAGTGACCGTTGAATAAAGAGATGAAACAACAGAATTTCTACAAGTTTATCAACTTTATTGATAATATAGTTAATATTAACGGCCTACTGCCCCTCCAAGGAATGGTATATTAACGGAAGATGTTTGTGGTCTGGCGTATCGATTAAGGCAGTTTTATTGGAATTAACACGAAACGACGAAGGATTTTCCTTTCTCGAAAAGTCATGCTTTCCAATATATTAGGTCATCATTAAAAATAGTCTGACATAGAAATAGATCGTCAGTTATAATATATATATGTCTGTATCGTCGACCCCCCAAACCCCCCTCTGGATCCGCCCCTGAAAATAATCATCTCAGTTTGGATTAAATAAAGGTACATTAATAGATTATGATATATTTATAGATAGGTGGCGCTGGTTTGTTTTGGCCATATCTCACTTATATCTTCTGCAAAATATTCCAAATGTTAACAAATTCAGTTCATCATATGTTTGTGCATTCGGATTAATTATAACTCCTACAGTTATTTGTTTTTATATCTAGAAGATAGAAGCTATTATTAGCTAAATATCAAACATACATATAAGTATGAAACTATAATCAGATGTAATTATGTCTGGTTATCTAATCTTCCGCCAATGGTTATATCTAAATAAATAGGTCTGTAGGCTATACGATGGGAAAGTTCACAATATGTTCGTGTTTTTTTTATTAAATAACAGCTTTATTCTTGTCTGGTTTAAAGTGGTGTTGTCGGATAAATGCGGTTGCGTATAATGC